CTGCTACAGGATTTTGGCAATGGCCTACAGCCTATCGCATACGAGTCACGAAAACTGCATCCGCCCGAGAAAAATTACCCGATACACAACCGCGAAATGCTTGCGATCGTGCACGCGTTCAAAATATGGCGCTGTTACTTGACTAGCGCGGACGTGACAGTACGGAGAGACCATAAATCACTACAGTACCTTCGCGCACAGCCACACCTCAATCCACGACAGATTCGCTGGCTCGATTTCCTCGAGTCCAACTTTTACTACACGGTCACTTACAAAAAGGGAGCCTCGAACATCGCCGACGCACTGACCCGCCCCACTGCCCAGATCCACGCAATACTACTCGCCCAGACAAGCCCGCTACTGACAGGCCTATTCACCCACGGGTACCAAACGGATCCATTCTTCACAGGAGGAAATTCTCAGCAGTTCGCAGCAGCAAAGGGAGTCTATTACGTAAAAACCGGGACTTACCGCATTTGGGTGCCTGTGTTGTGAAGAAATGAGGAATGGAAGGAAGGGGTTTCACTAGCAAGCAGTTGAGTACATATAGCAAACCCTAAATTGGGCTGTACTCACTATTGAGTACCCCACTGCAGGCTAGACAAACATAACATTCTGACACACCCCCATAGCCAAAGTGGGGTGTAATCAGCACAACAAGCAAGCAAAATACAAGCTCAGGGTGGATCACAATGTCACCACACAATCTTAGCACAAGTACAAGAAGCAACAGTTTAAAGTTCACAAATGTAAGCAAAGCTAGAGGATATCACCGAGGGCAAGTATGGAGGAGGAGGGACTATGAGAGGAGAGGAGGTAGTGGACGGCAGCTGAAGCTACTGGCACACGGCGCAACTGGAGCAACTGGCACACGGGCAACTGGAGCAACTGGCACACTGGCAACTGGAGCATCTGGCACACGGGCTACTGGAGTAACTGGCTCCGCGGCTAACTCTGAGCGGCAGGAGCAACGGACTCACGGGCGACTGGAGCAACTGGCTCACGGGCGACTGGCGCTACGGGCTCACGGGCGACTGGCGCAACGGTCTCACGGGCGACTGGAGCTGCGGGCTTCACGGCGGCCACCCCCCTTCAACCTCCCCAAACTATCCCACCCCCCTTTCACACACCCCCTGCTGTACCCTAGGTTCACTCACACCCCACCCCCTAGCACCACTCCGTCAACTCCCACACATCCACCCCCCTCAGCGGCAGCTGCAGCAGTGGGAGACAGAGGAGGAGGAGGAGCAGGGGAGACCACACACCCGCCACCCCCTACTCGCCACCCCCAGACCCTTACACAGGGCAGGGCGGGACGGCGGGTAGGGAGGTTACGGGGGGGGGGGGGGCGACGCGCGGCCTCCCAAGGCGCCAAAACAGGCGGCAGAAGGGGCGACGCTCGCTCCCCCCCCCCCCAAGGTCGCCCCTCCTGTCGCCTGTCGAGGCGACTTGAAGGGGCCGCGCGCGGCCCCCCAGGGAGCCGCGACGGGCGACGGGAAAAGAGGGGGGGGCGGTGCACGGGTCCCCGGTGCGCCGCGACAGGCGACGGAGCATGGCCGGGGCGGGGACGGGGCCGCTGGAGGCGGCGACGGGGCCGATAGGGGCGGCGACGGTGCCACTGGAGGCGGCGACGGGGCCGCTGGAGGCGGCGACGGGGCCGATAGGGGCGGCGACGGGGCCGCTAGGGGCGGCGACGGGGCCGCAGGAGGTGGCGACGGGGCCGATAGGGGCGGCGACGGGGCCGCGAAGGGCGGCGACGGGGCCGCTAGGGGCGGCGACGGGGCCGCGAAGAGGCCGCGAGGGGCCTTGAAGGGCGGCAACAGGGCCGCGAAGGGCGGCGACGGGGCCGCTAGGGGCAGCGACGGGGCCGCGAAGGGTGGCGACGGGGCCGCTAAGGGCGGCAACGGGGCCGCTAGGGGTGGCGCGAGGGGCCGTGAGAGGGGCCTCTAGAAGGGCGCGACGAGAGGGCGGCCCACGGGGCGCGCCTCGGGCAGGGGCGACTCGCGCTTCGGTCAGAAAAAAAAAAATTCAGTGGTGGGCCCTGAGAAGCGTTCCCACTAGAGAACCAACTCTATACCATGTGAAGAAATGAGGAATGGAAGGAAGGGGTTTCACTAGCAAGCAGTTGAGTACATATAGCAAACCCTAAATTGGGCTGTACTCACTATTGAGTACCCCACTGCAGGCTAGACAAACATAACATTCTGACATGGGTATACACTGCTACGGGAATTACTGTTACAGGAGGCACACGACGGAGTTACCTCGGGGCATTTCGGAGTAGAAAAAACACGGCAGCAGCTGCAGCGGTATTATTACTGGCCCGAAATGTTGACCGACGTACAACGACACGTGGCATCGTGTCCCACTTGTCAGCTCATGAAATCATCACGACACCGGCCGACGGGACAGTTGCAGCCGATACCACCCCCAGAACGTGCTTGGCAGCAGGTGACGATGGACTTTGTCACGGGGTTACCAGCCGGGGCGAGTGGGAACGACGCGATCCTTGTTGTCGTTGATCGACTGACGAAAATGGCACATTTCGCAGCCTGCAAAAAATCAATCACAGCCGAAGAAAAAGCACGCCTCTTCATCTCCACCGTCGCTCGACAACACGGGATACCAGCCGCGATCATCAGCGACCGCGACACGAAATCCACCAGCAACTTTTGGCGGAACCTGTGGCAGCAGTTCAGCACGCGACTGCAGTTCAGTTCATCATACCACCCCGAAACCGACGGACAGACAGAACGGACAAATCAGACCATGGAACAGCTCATCAGGGCCACATGTGACGACCCGACCACGTGGGAACAGCAACTGCCACTAATCGAATTCGCGTACAACAACTCGCCATCCGCCACGACCCAACAATCACCATTTTACCTAAATTACGGACAAGACCCGATAGTACCCATGACCCCGAATCCCGACAACCCAGTACCATGAGCACAACAGTTCGCCGAAATATTACAAGCAGCACGGACCCGGGCAGTAGACGCAATAAAAAAATCGAACATCATCGCTAAACGCAACGCCGACCGCGACCGCAGACCTGTCACTTACCAGCCCGACGACTTAGTTTTACTTGACACTCAGAACCTCCGACTGCCCATCACCCCGAAACTCCGCCCCCGATACTGCGGGCCATTTCGCATAAGCCACATGCTTACACCCGTCACCGCCCACCTCCTCCTCCCTGCTGACTAGTACGTCAGCCCCTCATTCCACGTCAGGCTACTTCGCCCTTACGTCCCGTCCACAAGCCAACTGCCACGCAATCGCCCAGCGAGCATGACAAGACCACCAGCTGAACCAATCATCACCCCCGAGAAAATCCTGAGTCACAGAGTTCGCGACCCTCGAGGAGCCCGAAGGATCGAGTTCTTACTCCGCTGGAAGGACCATACACCCACCGAAGACAATTGGGTTCCCCTGGATAGAATCGAAAATCACCCCGTCCTCACCGAGTATCTGCGCAGCCGAAATTTCAGGGATGTACACGCACTTTCGTAAGGAGGACCTCCTTAGGGGGGGGGGGGTAGTGTAAGGAAAATTCCTTTTCCTTACTTCGCATCGCTGCTCAACGCGTACATCACTGTAGCACCACAGTCAGCACCGTTACCACTCGCAACCCTCGCATCGACAATCCGCCCGCCACCTTCGCACATCGCACCCCAACCTCACGGCTCGGCGGGTAACCCGCGCTCCGGGCCTCCGCTTCGACACTTTTTCCCAACCTCAGTCCCAGGCACGTCGCGCGACAATTACAGTCCATTACCGTTACCACTGTAGTTTCGCTATATTTTCTTCGCTCATGCCTTCACTCATTGTACTCTTGCTTCGATAGTGCAATTCTCGTTCGTTCACTCGATTGCACTCGTAACAAGACCGCATCATGTTTTGTAACTTCACTTCAGTATAAAGAATGCTTTGGATTCTTTAAGAAAGAAAACAGGTTCAGGCTGTAAATATTCGGAATAAATACCGCTGCTGTGATATGTGTAGTTATTTACTAAAGTTTTTTTTGCAGAAATCACAATAACGCTAATCCCATTGGATATAAATATATAGAAGCAAAATCAAGAGTCATTACTGCTAAATTCACCCTTCTAACCGAATGGCACCTCTTTCTTCCCCTTCGCTGTCTTCGATCACCCGCAACAATTCCAATTCCATATTGGTTCGTCAACAAAACAACACACAGCATGGAGACACTACAGCAGAGCAACCATGCTCTATCCACCATCTCTTCGTGATTGCTTCCTCCGCTACCTCTTCCGTTCTCCTCTATCCACTCGTGATTCCGCCGATCCGTGATTGCCGCTTATTATCTCCCAGTATACGACGCTTTCGTACCCGGCTGTCGCGCATCTCAATCTCCCTCTCCCATCGGCCTCACCGCACAGCAACCTGCATCTCACCGCACACGCGTGTCGCCCGATCTCGCGCCGATCGCTGGCCGTCGCAACTCCCGTCGCAGGAAGAGCGCGACAGCCGGTTCCCCACCCCCAGATTCGAGGCCACAGCAGGCTCTTTCGGCGGTGAACGCAGATGCCACTGCGAGAAATATTCGTGGCAGGACCAACCATGAATATGCCAAGGTGTCCGGTTGCCTTGAAGCGGGGGCCTAGCGGCGCGTTTAGATAGTCGTTGCGGCAGAGAGAGAGAGGAGTGGCGGGTATGGCGGCGTTGTCGCTCCACGGCTTGTAGACTGGTGGCAGAGCCCCGTAGCACAGGCGCTTAGCTTGTCAAGGCTCTGACTCCCGCTGCTGCACGCCTCTTGCTGCCCCGCCCATCCGTCCTTGCACACACCCACCCTCGGCCTCCCACACACTCAGCCTCGCCCTCCCATCCCGCGCCTCTCTTGTCTTCCCATTTCCCCATCCTCCCACTCCTCCCGGTTTCTTCTTTCCCTCTCCCCCTTCACTGCCCTCCCCTTTCCCCCCTCATCTCTCGCTCTCCCCACTCACACGGCCGCCCCTAGCGCAACCGCCATGGGCGCAACGTCCCCAGGCGCGCCCCCCGCGGCGGCCACGGGGCGCGCGGTGCTGAGCGAGCGCGTGGTGGGACACCGCATGGCGCTGCAGCGCAACGAGAACATCCGCTGCCTCGCCGCGCTCGCCCTCCCCGCACCCCTCCCCGCGCCCGGTGCCCCCCATCTGCCGCCAGACGCCGCTGCGCAGAGCAGCGCTGCGCCCAGCGCGTTTGCCACGAGCAGGCTCAGCAGCGGCAGCAGCAGCAGCAGCTCTGGCAGCAGCGCCAATACTAACGGTGACAGCGGTGGCAGTGGCAGTGGCAACAGTGGCAACAGTGGCAGTGTGCGTATGAGCAGCAGCGTGTTCGTGGGCACATCAGCAGGCCGCGTGCTGCACCTCTCGCTCTCCCACCCACCCACCACCCAACCCAACCAGCCTGGAGCACCTGCAGCAGCAGAGCCTGCGTCCGCATCTGCGCACGCAGGTACCAGCAGCGCTGCTCCTGCAGCAGCAGCAGCAGCAGCAGCAGCAGCAGCAGCAGGTGCTGTGTCTGCTGCTTCTGCTGGTGGCAACAGCGCGTCAGCATGGGGCTGGTTGACTGCAGGTCGGATGGCTTCTGCTTCTGCTTCTACCGCGTCTGCTGCTGCGGCTGGGGATAGCCCGTCTGCTGCTGGCAGCCATGTTGGTAGTGTGGGTGGTGCTGGTTCTACCGGTATGGGGGGAGCAGGGGGGAATGAGGCCAGGGGCCCCGAGTTGACTATGCGTGGGGTGTGCGTGGTGGGGAGGAGGGCAGTGGAGCGAGTGGAGGTGTTACATACGGTGATGGGGGGGCTGCTCGCTGTGCTCTGTGATGGGGGCGTGCGTCTCCTCCACCCTCTCTCCCTCTCCCTCGGCCCACCTGTAGGCCCTGCCTCTGGCACCCTCCTCCTTGCCTCGCACCCTCTATCATCCCCCGCTCCCTTTCCACTCTCCTCCTCTAATCCCTCCTCTTCAAACCTCTCCGCCCCCACCTCCGCCTCCTCATTTCAAGCCTCCCCACCCCCCTCCGCGCCTCTCCTCCTGGTCCTCCGCAGGAAGCTCCTCATCTTCACCATCTCCTCCTCCGCACCCTTCTCCCCCACGCCTCTCTGGGACGCGCTCTCCATCCGCCTGCAAGGGGAGATGCTTATAAAGGGTATAGGCGAGCGAGAGGTCCCTCTAGCAGCAGCATACCTGGGGTCGTCAGTGATCCTAGGCACGTCGCTGCAGTACCTGCACGTGTCCATCCCTTCAGGCGACCCCTTGCAGCTCTTTCCCCTGCCTCCCTCCTCTCCCAATCCCCCTCTCATCGCCGCTGTTTCGCTCGCCTGCAACGCGCCTGGGGTGTCCTCTCCGCGCGAGAGAAAGGTTGCTCCTGATGAGGGGGGGATAGCGTCAAGAGCGCATACGGAGACAGGTGGAGGTGAGGGTGAGGGTGGGGTTGAGGTTACAGCAGCAGCAAGAGCAGCAGCAGGAATGGAGGCGGTAGCAGGAGCAGTGAGAGGTCTGGCGGTAGCAGAGGAGGGCGGTTGGGGAAAGCAGCAGGGGGGGCTGCAAAGAATGAGCGCGAGTGTGGCTGGCACATCAGATGCAGCACCGGCCAGTGCAAGAGCGCACACACAGGACACAGCACACACATCACCAGCAGCAGCAGCAGCAGCAGCAGCAGCAGCAGCAGCAGCAGCAGCAGCAGCAGCAGCAGCAGCAGCAGCAGCAGCAGCAGCAGCAGCAGCAGCAGCAGCAGGGGAGACGGCAGTAAGAGCAGCAGCAGGAGGGAGCAGTGGTTCTGACATGGGTGCAGCAGAGGGCCGACCAAGCATACAGAGCCAGGAATCAGCAGCAGTACTAGCCATGGACGATATAGGAGTGGTCATAGACACCACAGGCCAGCCCAGAGGCAACCCCCTCATCTTCCCCTCCCCTCCCATCGCCCTCACCTTCGCCCCTCCCCACGTCGCCACTGCTCTCCACCACTCCCTACACCTCTTCGACCCGGCCACAGGCACGCTCCTGCAGACGCTCCCGGTGCCGGGAGGGGCGGGGACAGCTGGCAGGAGCCCATTGGTGGCGCTGGCGGCGGAGAGGGGAGGAGGAGGAGGGGCGGTGGTGGCGGCGAGTGGGAGTGAGGTGTGGTGGGTGCCGCGGCTGTCTCTGGTGCAGCAAGCGAGGGAGCTGATGAGAGAGAAGCGGTATGGGGAGGCACTGGAGGTGGCTAGGGGGGTGGATGTGGGCGAGGAGATGGAGGGGGAGGCATGGGGGGAGGTTAGGCCAGGGGATGGTGCTGAGCCGAGCACAGGGAAAACAGATGCTGCTGTTGGTGGTGACGGTGGTGGTGCTTCTGCTTCTGCTGCTGCTGCTGTTGCTGCTGCTGCTGCTAAAGGGGTAGTTTCTCCCATGGCATCTGCGCTAGCTCCAGGGACACCTGGGAGTAAGAGTGTGACGATACAGGGGGCGTGGAGGAGGAGAGTGGCGGAAGCGCATGCGCAGGTGGGGCTGTTGCTGCTGTGGGATGGGGACTTCAAAGCAGCCGTGCCGCACCTCCTAGCAGCACGAGGAGGGGTCTTCCAGCCTGCTGAGATCTTTGCGCTCTTCCCCCACTTGACTGCCAGGTGGCGATCGCTGGTTGGTTGCTCGTCCCTAATTCCTCGTCTCCTCTTCCTCGTCACCTGTTCCTCGCTTGCTGTTTCTCGTCCTCCATTCCTCGCCTCCTTTTTTTTTTGTGCTCTACTCCGCGCCTTCCTTTCTCACAGCGACACCGCACATGGCAATGTCCTTTGTGCTCCAAAATGTGAATGTGAATGTGCACGCAATTCGGCACGTGCGTGCACAATGTTGCGTGCAATGCAATAGGGTGTCGCAGGTAGTGGCCGCTTGAGCTGGCACATCATGAGGTTCTCATTCACCTTCTCATTCTTCACCTTCTCATTCTTCACCTTCTCATTCACCTCATCCTATCGCTCCCAAAGAGCAAGTTTGTGGAGGATGGCTTTAGCCTTCCTTAAAACCCCATCCACCACTGCACTCCCCATCTCACTCACGCACATCACTCCTCTTCCTTTCCTCCTCCTCACCTGCCCTGCTGCATCGTCTCTCCTGCTCCTGCCTCTCCCTGTCGCCTCCCTCTGTCAGACCCTCGAAGGATCATCCTGCCAACTCTTTTCTGAGGTCTGCACGCACTGACTCTTGTGTCGACCCCAAAGCCATCTCTCACGCTTCCCTCTACCCGTTCCCTCTCCTTGTGTTGTTCCCCAATCGCCAGATCCCCCGAGCTCGCTTCTGGGGTCTGCAACCACTGACCATTGTGTCGACTCAAAAACCATCTCTCCTGCTCACCCCTACCTGTTCCCTCTCCTTGTGCTGTTCCCCCGTCACCAGATCCCTCGAGCTCGCTTCTGGGGTCTGCACGCGCCTCTCTCTGCCCTGCACGACCGCCTGCTCTGCTGCTGCTTCCCTGCACCGTCTGCCGCTCCGCACCACCGCCCCCACCATCACCCCAGCTCCTCTTTAACTCCATCTGCGTCCCTTCCTGCAGCAGTAGCATCACCAGCAGCAGCAGCAACAGCAGCTGCAGCAGCATCAGGGAGGGAGGCGTTTACAGGAGCCAGGCCAGGCTCGTCTGGGGGAGGTGCAAGTGCATCTGTAGGGTCCGGTGCAGTGGGGAGCGATAGAGGGAGTGGGATGGAGGCGGGGGAGCAGCGGGTGCAGCAGCAGCGGCGGCAGGAGGACATTCGGCGGCAGTGCCAAGAAGGTGTGGTGAGGTAGGTGCAGGTGCACGCATGCACGGCTGCACGGGCTTCCAACCAACCCAATGCGTTAACATCAGCTGCTCTCCTCTCCTCCTGTAGAGAGGGTGTTTTTGAGATGTCTCAAAACACTCTCTCTACACGTCGCATGCACGGCTGCACGGGCTTCCAACCAACCCAATGCGTTAACATCAGCTGCTCTCCTCTCCTCCTGTAGAGAGGGTGTTTTTGAGATGTCTCAAAAACACCCTCTCTACACGTCGCATGCACGGCTGCACAGGCTTCCTTCCAACGAACCCAATGCGCTAACATCAGCTGCTCTCCCCTCTTCTCTTCCTGCCTGGGGCTGGCAGACCGAAGCGGGCCAGGTGTGTGCAGGCACGGCATGTGCGTGTCGGTCAAGCTGTAGGGGGGAGATGCGAGGGGCGAGTGGCAGGGGGGCTGGCCGGATGCAGGGTGACGGAACGTGGGACAAGCGGGGTGGAGGACAGATGGTCAGATGAATCACGAAGTTAGGCGCTGCTTTGGTGCATGCGCCTTGACAGCCATGCACCGAAAGCCATGCGCCCGTGACAGCCATGCGCCCGACGCCCGTGACAGTTATGCACCTGTGACAGCCATGCGCCCGTGACAGCCATGCGCCCGTGACAGCCATGCACCCGTGACAGCCATGCGCTCGTGACAGCCATGCACCCTCCCTCCCTTCCCTGTGCTTTTGGGCCAACTAATAATTCTTCTCATGACAGCCATATGTCGTTTCCCTCCCTTCCTCCCTGCGCCCCTTCCTTCCATCACACCTCACCACTACCCTGGTCTACACACAGCTATCTGCTGGCAGTGCGGCAGCAGTGGCGGCACTACTGTGTGTCGGAGCAGGAGCAGCAGGGGGTGGACTCGCTGCTGCTGCACCTGCTGCTCGCGCTGCACGACGCCCCCCGCCTGCTCATACTCTGCCTGCCCGCCGCACGCAACCGCTGCTACCTCGTATGCCACCCACCCACCCACCCACCACACCTCTTCGAGTTTCAGCTCACCTGGTGCGGGTTCTTGTGCTGAGATGGTCTAACAATCACCTCGTTCGCTCACTCTAGTGCCATGTGGCACCTCCGCTTGGCCTCTGCATGGCCTCTGCTTGGCCTCTGCATGGCCTCTGCTTGGCCTCCGCTTGGCCTCCGCTTGGCCTTTGCTTGCCCTCTGCTTGGCCTCTGTTTGCCCTCTGCTTGGCCTCTGTTTGCCCTCTGCTTGGCCTCTGATTGCTCTCTGCTTGCCCTCGCTCCCTCCCTCCCTCCTCCCATCTCACTAGGGCACATTCTTTGTCGATTGTTCAAGCCGCCACTCCCCCCTCCCGCTCCCCCGGCCTCTCTCCCATCACTCACCCCAGCCGGAAGTGGAGGGAGCGCTCCTGCGTGCACACCTCTTCCCGCCCCTTGCCTACCTGCGCTGGCAGCGGGGAGATGCCGACGGCGCCCTGGCGCTCTGGCGGGGTCTCGCACTAGGGGAGCTGCGGGGGGAAGCGGGGGAGGAAGCTGGGGGGGGAAGCGGGGGGGCTTTGGGGAGGGGAGTAAAAGGGGGGTTGGGGAGAATGCAGCGGCAGGCGGTAGAGGAGGCTGTGGCGATTCTGGGTGTGGTGGAGGACCCTCACCTCGTGCTGCGCCACCTGCCGTGGGTATGTGGGCACATGCGCATGTGCACATGCATGCGTGTGGGGGTGGGTGTGGGTGTGGGTGTGCGTGCACATGTGCCTGTATTCTTCCAGCCTTGCCTATCGCATTTGTTATAATCTCTCGTCCGTCTTACACTCTTGGGTATCACGCATCACCATCCCACACGCGCATCAGTCAGCATGCACCTCACATTGATTCTTCCCTGGCATGCACATGCATGAGCTCCCCTGCTACATGCTGGCTCGCCATGGTTTCTGGAAATTCAACGACATCTGCCATTTCCTGTGATATCCGGCATGTGCTCTCTCATCCCTCCCATGCTCTCTCATCCCTCCCATGCGGCACCGCATGCTGCCACCACCATCATCGCACATGCATCATCATATCAGGTGTTGCAGCTCGGTCCATCCAAAGCTCTCTCCGTCCTCACTGCTTCTCGCCCCCCCTCGGCTGCCCTGCCAGTTGGTCAGCACCCCCTCTTGCCCTTCCCCTCTCGTTCGCTACAACTCAAACAAAACTTCTCCGCTCTAGGCCGTCCCATGCAGTGCAATGCCGTTTCATGCCTTCCCATTCTGTCTCTTGCAATCACGTGCTATCCCACATCATCCTGCATCACCAAGCATCATTCCACACCATGCCACGTCATCCCACACCATGCCACATCATTCCACATGCACGTCATCCCGTGCATGGATATGTGCATCCCCACGCCACCAGACGAGGCATTGGAAACCATATCAGCTGCGGGTCTGGATCGACTCGTCAAGTGGAGGTCAGCTTTGTCTGCCCTTCCACCATCCCCTTGTCTCATGCCCTCCTGTCATCCAATTCAAAACCTTGTCAGTTTTCCGGATTGGCACATTGGTGATTCGAGCTCGCTCATCATGAGATGCTGCTTTCATGTGGCGCTGCTGTCGTTGAAGTGACAGCTCTCGACCATGCCAGCACTGCATGACAGTTCCACCACACCTGTCGCACCCTTTGTGCGTGTCCTTTGAACCCACTGTCAAGTCAAACTTGTGTCTCAAAGCACACCTGCAATGCAAACACACCCCTCACACTCTCTTTTTCCGTGTTCAACGCCTTGACGCTCTTGCCTCGCACAAATACATTGCACGCACGCATGCAACCCGCTTCCCCCACTGACAGGTACCTGCAGTGGCTGGTGGAAGAGCAGGCCAGTCACAGCAAGCATCACCACACACTCTATGCACTCGCTCTTGTTGATACCGCTGCTGCTGCTGCCACTGCTGCCACCGCCGCTGTTGCTACTGCTGCCGCTAGTGCGGCTGCAGGAACCAAGAGCATTAGAGCACTGACGGAAAGCGGTCCCAGGGAGAGTTCAGCTGCAAGCGGGAAGGAGGAAAAGAAGGGGTACTTAGACGCATGGGAGGTCAGGATGAGGGGAGCAGGAGCTACAGAAGCAGCGCCGCCAGCAGATGAGAGGGTCAGGGCGAACGAGGAAGAAAACCACAGTGAGGGCGATGAGGGAGAGGAAGCATGGGGGCTTGAGGGGGCGTCAGATCAGGCATCGCTGGCAGGGCTGTGGCAGCGGGTGCGGGGAGTGCTGGGGACGTTCCTGGAGTCATCAGAGCTGTATGATGGCAGTGCTGTGTGGCGGAGAATACAGGGCGAGCGCGCACTGCTGAGGGAACAGGTGGGTGCCTGTGCCTGCTGATGCCCATGGGTGTGTGTATGATCATGCGTATGTATGGCCAGCTGTGGCCAGCTGTGGGCAGCTTCTGACGCATACAGTGTGAAAAGCAGCACTTGGAGCCATTTTCTATACCAGCATTGGGCAGCATTGGGTATCTTCTGATGCATAGGGCGTGAAGAGCAGCACTGTATTGCCGTGCCATGCCACCTCCATGTGTTACACGTGTATCACATGGCGTGGCTTCTTCATTCTCATCCCCCCGCACACCCCACGTCACCAGGTGGTTGTGTTGAGGCGACTGGGTGACCACACAGCCGCCCTGCGCATCCTTGCTCTGTGAGTGTTCTTCACCTTGCCTCCTCTCCTCCTCTCCTCTCCTCGACTCCTCCTCCTTTCGTGTGATCATCTCCTCTCCTCCTCATCACTTCCTCCTCGTTTCTTTTCTTGCCAACTCAAATCTTCACTCAACTGCTTTGCACACCTTCCCCACACACTCCAACCTCCAAAACCTAATCCCCTTTTTTCAAACTGCAAACACCAGAGAGTTGAAGGACAGTGAGGCGGCAGAGGCGTACTGTCTACACCTCAACGACCCCCACGCTTTCGACCAGTCAGTGCTCCCTCCCTCTCGCCCTCCGTCTCACCTCCTGCTTTCTACCCACCGCTTTGCACCCCTCCACTACTGCACAAATCGCATGCGTGTGCATCCATCCCTCTCATGGCATGCCTACGTGCCTCTGAGTTCTATCAGTGGGTGTGGGTACATGTGTGCATGGAACATGCCACGTCTGCCACACCTGGGCACTTCTGGTAGTGTGTTGAAAAGATGCCATCTTGCAATCCAGCCTGTGTGAGCCGTTGGGCCTCCTTGCTCCTCTCCTTATGCCTTCACATCTCACCCCATTCCCTCTCACCCCACTCCCTCTCACCCCATACCCCACCAGTCTACTGCACCTGTACCTGCACCCGGGCGGCAGCATGCGCCCCATGTTTGACGCCGCAGTGCGCCTGCTGCACTGCACGCGCGCTCACGTGGACCCCAACAGCATACTCCAGGCATGTCAGAGGTGCTTCTGCCACCTTGCCGGTGCTTGTTGAGCCAGCTAGGCAATGATTCTGCCAGCGAGGCAGTGCCCGTGACATCACATGCAAATCAAGCAAGTTGAAGTGGGAAGAGAGCTGGGTGCATGTGCTGAGATACGGCACACACAAGAGCTGGGTACTTGCTTATTCGTTCACACCACATCGTTTCTGTCCATGCTCTAGTAGTATGTGCCGTATCTCCCAGCCCAGCTTCACTCGTTCAGGGCACCCCATCCACTCCCTCCCTGCTGCTCCCTCCCGCCCCTCTGTGCACGCCCCTGTGTGCGAGCAGGCGCTACCAAGTGACATGACGGTGCAGGAGGCGGGGAGCATTTTGGCGCGGCTCATGCGCGAGAGAGTGCACAGATTGCGACAGGGGCAGGTGGGGGCTTGGGGCAGGTGGGGGCTTGGGGCAGGTGGGGGCTCAGGGCAGGTGGGGCTTGGAGCAGGTGTGCATGTTTTCACAATGTCGTCAGTGGGCAGCCAACGCCTATCAGCAGGTTCCTCTCCACCCACTGCCCAATGCCCCTTGATGTTGCCACACCTCCTCACATTGCACGCATGCCCATCCCCCCTTGCGTGCATGCCCGTTCCTTCCCCCCCATGCCATGCTTCCCTTCTCAGGTGGTGGACCATCTGCTCAAGGCTCAGAAACGCACCCTACTCGAGCGCAGCACTTTCGAGGCACCTCAAAAGCATGCTCATTCCTTCCTGTGCACATCCATGCTTCCCTACTCAGGTGGTGCACCATCTGCTCAAGGCTCAGAACCGCACCTTACTCGAACGCCGCATGGAGCTGCTCTCCCGCTCCGTGCTGCTGCCACTGCCGCCACACGCCATCATGCCACCCTCCTCCTCCTCCGTGCTATCATCGGCGTCATCGGTGCATGGGGGGCATGCGGGCACGAGTGTATCGGCCACGCGCTGCTCAGCGTGCCACAACCGCCTGTGCATCGACGAGCCCTTTGCTGCCATGCCCTCTGGCGCCCTGCTCTGCCACCAGGTCAGTGTCTCGTCCATGCACTGTCTTGTTCTGCTCTGCTTTGCTCTCCTCTGCTCTGCTCTGCTCTGCCACCAGGTCAGCTGCTCTGCTTCTCTGTTGAAGCGCTCCTCTGCTGCAGTTTCATGAGTGGCGTTCGTTTTTTCTGCGAGTTTGCTTCACTGTCAATGCTCTGCTGCGTGCATGTGTGCTGCGGGATGAGTGCGTCACGTGCCATGCTCGCAAAATGCTCTGCAACTTTGTTTTGATGCCTCTCTCATGCGTTCTCAGCGCCATTTGTGAGTGAGAGCACTCTCAAGAACGGTCACGGTAGCATTTTATCTTAGCGTGTGACATCAAGCTTGTTACACCACCTCTTTCTCACAGCATCCGTGCCACCTGCTGTTCTTACTTGCAGTGTTACACCCACACCACCTCAGCTCCTAATGAAGGATGATACGGTAGTCGGTTGGAAGATATTCCAGCAAGGCTGCCATATTCGTGAAGGGCTAAGGAAGGGATCATACCGTAGTAATGGTTACTGTCTGTAACACCAATGCTCTAAATGTGTTATGAGTTTTACTAGACAGAGTGCGCGGAAGACTTCTATAAAGAGAATGAATTACAGAATTACTGAATGGTCAAGAATGATAAAGGAGCACGCATTTATAGGGTCGAAACCGTGCTAGGCGAGGACCTCGGCACGTGGATGGTTTGGATGTGTCGCGATTGGTGCGGGGCGATTCGGCATTGGTTCGGTGCGGAAATGTAGGCCGAGCCACCTGACGCGAAGTGCTCGGGCTGTACCCGTTAAGGCAAGGCTACAGTAAGGAATTGGCAAATTCCTTACACTCTCCCACCTTCTAGATAAGGTCCCCTTATCCGTAGACGAGTCGTGCAGTAGCGTGGAAACTGCAGATCTCGGTCGAGACTGATCTGACGGTGCAGAAGCACGTTGACTGTCAAGTTGACGCGTGGCTGAACGCGTTGACCAGGCGAAATTCAAAGAGTTGGAATGTCAGCCGTTGATACTACCGATAACGATCGGGCGGTTGAATTCGAATGTCGAGTTGAAAAGCCGTTGATGAATGACAGTCGTCGATGTGGTGGATCTCTGTCGGACGGTCAAGATGAACACGTCGTGGGCGAAAATGCTGACGCGTTGTCAGAAGTCGATGAATCAGGACCCGTCGATGTCGTTGATGTGATTGCGAGCGTCCGTCGTGCTGAATCTGTCAGATGAAATGTCAGAAAAAACTGACAAGTACAGTGCGAGAGCAGTTTCTCCCCCCTTTTGGAAAAGACTGCCACCTAAAAATCTCTGCGTGGTAGCACCGAATCACCCTGCTGCCGCAGTATCTTCAGTTGTCAGCTGCTGCATTCCCGAAATTGATGCCGTTTGTCTTGTTGCAGTGTCGAAAATCTTCGCTGTAGCTTCTCCAGCTGTCGGCGTCCCTCGCAGTCTTGTCCAGACTCGCCGAGGCTTTTGTCGATATTCGCCGAGAAGTACCGGGCAGAGGCGAAAAACAGCTGCTGCTCTTCCCCCTGATCTCGCAAATATTTTCTCAAAGTTGAACTTGAACTGTCGATGACGTCAGCTACCTCGGCGATGTTGTCGTGACTCGCCGAAAACTTCCGGGCAGTGGCGAAAAACAGCTGTCGCCTCTCCCCCCTTCTGAAGCAATACTTCTTAATTGTTGTCGCTGGTACTCCCGAGTGTCAAACATTATATATGTTGTGTTAGTTTAGGCTACAGTGGGTTAGCCTATAGGGGGTACACAATTCTAGGGTTAGGTACTTGTACTCATTTCACTGCTAGTTCATTCATTCCTGTTCAGTGATTCCAACATGGTATAGAGCAAGTCCTTCCTAGGACCCAAATTTTCTAAGGGCCCACCACTACGTAACTACCTAACTACCTACCTACCTGTGCCCTAGGGCGCCTCGGCGTGTCACGCCCCTAGAGGCCCCTCTTGACGGCCCCGCGCTAGCCCCGTTCAGGCCCCGTCGGCCCCACGCCCGCTCTCCCTAGCGGCCCCGTTCAGGCCCCGTCGGCCCCTTTAAGGCCCCGTTCGGCCCGCGCTAGCCCCGATTCAGGCCCCGTCGGCCCCGTTTCAGGCCCCGTCGGCCCCGCGCTAGCCCCTCTCAGGCCCCGTCGGCCCGCGCTAGCCCCGTTTCAGGCCCCGTTGGCCCCGTTTCAGGCCCCGTCGGCCCCGCGCTAGCCCCTCTCAGGCCCCGTCGACCCGCGCTAGCCCCGTTTTAGGCCCCGTCGGCCCCGCGCTAGCCCCTCTCAGGCCCCGTCGGCCCCGCGCTAGCCCCATTCAGGCCCCGATCGGGCCCGCGCTAGCCCCATTGAGGCCCCGATCGGGCCCGCGCTAGCTCCGTTTCAGGCCCCGTCGGCCCCGTTTCAGGCCCCGTCGGCCCCGCGCTAGCCCCGTTCAGGCCCAGTCGGCCCCTTGCTAGCCCCATCAAGGCCCCGTTTGGCCCCGCGCTAGCCCCGCTCAGGCCCCGATCGGCCCCGCGCTCGCCCCTCTAGGGCCCCAACTGGCCCCGTGCCGACCTCGCCGACCCGTGCCCACCACCTAGAGGCCCCGGGCGGCCCGTTCCCGCCGCAGCACACGAGGGAGAGCGGGCGGCCCGTCCCCGCCGTGACCCCAGCCGCGCGACCCGAGCCGCGCGCCCCGAGCCGAGCCGCGCGCCCCGAGCCTAGCCGCGCCACCCAGCCGAGCCGCGACCCGACCTGAACCGAGCCGCGCCGCCCTGCCCTACCTGGTTCGTCCTACTTGCTTCTCCTACTGCTACTGCTGCTATTTCTACTGTTCCTATGGCTAGCCCACAGGTTCTCGTGTTCGATGCTGAGGGCCGCCGTGTGAAGTTTGACACCTGGCTCGATGACCTGCACCTCTACCTACAGCTCACAGCCAAGGATGACATCTCACTGTACGATCACGCCCTAGGCCATGTCACTGCCCCTGCTGCTACTGCTGACAGCACTGCTCGCTCACAGTGGCAGACTCGTGATGCCCACGCTCGCTTCGCCATTCGCAACTCCCTGCCGATAGATGAACGCGAGCACTTTGGTCAGCACAAGACTGCACAGGCACTGTACACAGCTGTAGTTGCTCGCTACTCCTCACCTGCCTCTGCCGCACTAGGCCGTCTCTCCCTCCCCTACCTGTTTCCCGACCTGGCCTCCTATCACACAGTCGCTGACCTCATCACGCACCTCCGTACTAGTGAGGCCCGCTTCCGTGCCGCCATGCCTGCTGAGTTCCTTGCCACGCACCCCCCTCCACTCTGGCTCACTCTCTACCACCTAGTCACCTGCCTCCCTGACACACTGCGTGCTGTCAGGGACCACTTCCTAGCTCGTTGCCCCACTGAGCTCACCATTGCCCTCCTCGAGAAGGAGCTACTTGCAGCTGAGACTAGCATAGTCGCTGTAGGTGCCTCTCGTGGCGACCCCCGTACCCCGTTCTTTGAGGGGTGTTCTCCTTCCCCCCTTCTTCCCTCTGTCGCCTCTGCTGTTGCTGTCGACCTTCTTGGTACTGAGAAGGTCGGCGCTGCGTCTGCCTCGAGCGGACGCTGCAGCGGCAAGGGCAAAGGGGGCAAGGGTGGTGGCGGTGACGGCGGGGGAGGCGGCGGTGGGGGCGGTGGAGGCAGTGGGGGTGGTGGCTCGGCTGGAGGGGCGAGTGGTAGCGGTGGGGGTGGTGGCGGCAGTGGCGGGGGAGGTGGCAGGAGTGGAGGCGGCGGTTGGGGTGGCGGTGGACAAGGTGGCGGCAGGGGTTGGGGTGGTCGAGGAGGTGGCAGCGGTGGTGGTGGCCGTGGAGGCACTGGCGGTGGCCAGGGTCAGCAGCACACTCCCTCGCCCCAGGAGGTCCGTGAGTGGTACTCTCAGCACGGGGGTGGGGGTGGTCTTAGGTGCACGTACGTCATTCGCACTGGTGACCGCACTGGTCAGCAGTGTGGACGACCGCACGCCACACAGCGCTGCTTCTCTCGTCTCGACGACGCTTGGCGTGCTCAGTTCCCTCAGGCCACTGAGCTGCCCCGCTGGCTTGATCTCCTGAAGAAGGGGATTGATATCTATGCTCTAGACTTTGATGCTATTCTATCTGCCATGTATGTGATGTCTACTAGTGGAGAGGGTGCTGAGTATTTTTGTGTGCCGCCCGACCCGAGCATTAGGGCCAGTGCGTCTGCCGCTCCAGGTACTCGCGTGTCGGCTACCCCAGGTGCTGGTGAGGCTGCTGCTCTAGGTGCTCGTGTGTCTCCCCCCCTTGGTACTGCGTCGACTGCCGCACTGCACACCTTCACACTGGACTCAGGTGCTTCTCGCTGCTTCTTTCGTGACCGCACTGCCCTTGAGCCGCTTGCTCGGCCAGTTGCTGTCTCCCTTGCTGACCCCTCTGGGGGTCAGGTCATTGCAACCTCTTCCACTCTCCTTCCCTGTCCTGCGGTCCCATCGGGCACACTGTCAGGTCTCCACCTCCCCTCGTTCTCTACGAACTTGGTGGCAAGATGTGCACTCCAGGACGGGGGTGTTCACCAGTTCACCCCTGCCTACGAGCGCGTGACACACTGCACGTGTGCTCGTACGGGCCGTCACTTGGCTACCTTCACTCGGCAGCCGGGGTCGGACCTGTACACACTGACAACTGAGTCCCCTCAGGTTGCTGCGACTGCGTCCGCGTCCGCGTCAGGTCAGCTGTCCGCCCCCTGCTCGTGTCGCTCTTTGGCACACGAGACTGTCCTCTGGCACCACCGCCTTGGCCACCCGTCTGTGCAGCGGCTTCTTGCCATGCACTCCCGGTACCTTGTCTCTGGCCTGCCCAGGGTCCTTCCTGCCCTCCCACCCTCGCCTGCTCCTACCTGTCTCCCCTGTGTCGAGGGACGGCAGCGCGCCGCTCCTCACTCCTCCTCGTTCCCCCCGACGACTGCTCCCTTGCAGACACTCCACATGGACGTGTGGGGCCCAGCCCGCGTCCGTGGTCAGGGTCAGGAGAGGTACTTCCTGATAGTTGTTGACGACTACTCGCGCTACACCTCGATCTTCCCCTTGCGCACCAAGGGTGAGGTCCCTGATGTCTTGATCCCTTGGATCCGCAGAGCCCGTCTCCAGCTCAGCGAGCGTTTTCACTCGGACTTTCCTGTCTTGCGCTTGCACTCTGACAGAGGTGGTGAGTTCTCCTCCGACCTCTTGGCAACCTACTGTGCTGAGCACCGCATTGAGCAGTCGTTCACGCTTCCGGCTTCTCCACAGCAGAATGGGGTTGCGGAGCGCCGCATTGGCCTGGTCATGGAGGTCGCCCGTACCTCCTTGATCCATGCGGCTGCCCCCCACTTTCTGTGGCCGTTTGCGGTCCGGTACGCTGCGCATCAGCTCAACCTCTGGCCCCGTGTCTCCTTGCCAGAGACCTTGCCCATGCTGCTGTGGACGGGGGAGGTTGGCGATGC